GTGCTATCAATTTGTCTGTGACTCATAGCAACCCTATATAGAACAGCTCTTAATCCCACCCTATTTTTAGGCAGTCTTAGTGTCGCTGACATATCTATCCCCATTACCCCAGTTACTATATAAAGCCATCTCCTCTGGGGTCTTCCTCTCCTGTGCTGTCCCTCCACCCTTTCTCCATGATGTCTTTCTCCAAGACCTGGTTTCTACTGGCAACATCCTCAAAATATGTCTAGTCATAATCCTTTTCTCCAAGGAATAGTGTGGTTTTACCCTTTCCAGGACAGACCTGTTTGTTTTCTTGGTGGTCCATGATATGTTCAATACTCTTCTCCAGCATCACAACTGAAAGGCATAAATTATTCTTCTATCACCTATAGTCACTGTCCAGCTCTCTGATGTGTAGTAATTGTGAAGGCCATGGCCTGAGTCAGGTGCATCTTAGTCTCTAGACTAACATGATTGCTTTGTTTGTTTGTTTTTTCTTGTTTTGTACCATTGAGTAAGATCCAACTGGAACAGAAGGAGATTGCCCCTCTTTCTGCAGTGGAGTATCTGTGTAGCAACATCATTGCTTGTAATTTGCACTTACTAGCTTTCCTGATTCATAAGGTCCTTCATATGCCAAACTACATTGTTGGTCTGGGAAGGGATTACAATTACCCCTTCCAAACATGGTTATGGCAACACTGCCAACAGCCCTTTCAAGTAGCTGCTATTTGGGCCTTCTGGTTTAAAGATCAGAGTTGGTTGAAACTTGGGTAGTTCCTTACCACAGGAACCAATAGCTGATCCTTTGGTGAGTTTTCAGAGGCAGTTAATCACACGGGAGGAGACTGACCAACTTTTTGTTCCCTTCTGGAAGAGACCAAGGATAAGTGTGGATGAGGAAAATTAAAGCCATGATCACAATCATCTTCTCCAAGTTGATGGATCAGTTAGGTCTTTGTATTGGTAACAGAATGTAGCAGATGACTCTTACTTAGCCTACAGGAGGCTTGAAAACTCCAAGTATGAACTCACGATGATTAGGTGACCATAGTAAGAGACAAAAGTCATATACTCACTTCAACCTCTCAGCAGAATAGATGACCATAGATCATCCATCTGAGTGAAGGAAGCCATCCCTGCAGCTTGCCCAGATAGTCCTACCAATCTTTTGACTGAGTCATCAGTAGATAGTTGACATTTCTGCCCCTAGCTGCTGAGGAAACAAGCATAGCTGCATCAACTGAGGCTAATATCAGAAGGGTTAGTCAGTCTAGTGAACAGGGAATTAAGGAGCAGGGCTTGTGGTGTGGAAGATGCGATGGAGAAAGTTTAACAAGACTGACTGGGTTTTAAAACATGGCTTCAGCTATTAACTTCTATTTCCGTTACTGACTTCTGTTCCCGTCAGATAACCCTCACACACTTCCTTTCTTAGTTTCCCAACTTCACTCCATGGGAAAACTTAACTACCCAAAATAATAAGGGTACTAATAATATCAGCTGTGAAAACTAGGCCAGGAGCTGATTGTGGAACAGACCACCAACTACTCATATGCAAGTTCAAGCTGAAGCTGAGG